GTTGTAGCTGAGGCATGAGGAAGTACCGCTGCTGGATGTGCTTCGCTCTGCCCTCAAGTCGAGGCTTTTGATACAGGAGGATCATGGCCCTTTTGTCAGCGTATAGGACTGAGGCAGAGCTAGGCTGCTCACCTAAGTCGGTGAGCAAGAACGTCAGCCAGTGGAGCTCCTATGCCACCATGGCACCGGCATATATCTCAGCCTCACAGCTAGACTGGGCAGCAGACAAGGAGCGAGTGGACCTCCACGAGATGGCGCTTGCACCAAGGCTAAAACAGTAGCCCTGGGAGGACCTGAGGGTCTCAGCGTCGTTTGCCCAAGAAGCGTCTGTTGGCCCGGTAAGGACCACCGGCTTGCGTCCTCCTAGCACTAACCCCATGCCTGATGTACTTGCTAGATAACGCAAAACCCTCCTAGTGGCTGACCAGTGCTGTGGTCGGTGTCTCCTTGTGACCACAAAGCGAGCCAGCATGCTGAGAGGGTATGCGGCATCTAGACGAGTGCAAGTCATCAGGTACATGAGGCAACCCACCAAATCTGCGTAAGGAACACTGGGCTCTACTGACTCCTCAGGAACTGGAGCCGAGAGTCTGTGGTCTACTAGCAGAGGTGTGGGCTGTGCAGAGGAGAACTGAAGACCGAACCTCTGAAGGGCGTGGCGCACCAAGAGTGACTATGTGAGAGTGATGGTGCACGCTGCTCTGTCCCGGGAGATCTGCAAGCCAAGGTAGCGGCGCAGCTCTCCTAGGTCAGTGCAGGTGTGTCTCCTCAGCAGCTCGGCCTTCACGTAGGCCAGCACGTCTCTGTCTTCAGTAGTGAAGACCAGGTCATCTACGTAGACAAGGATGTAGAACGGAGTCTGGCCAGCACGAAGGAACAACGCGGGGTCTGCAGAATATGAGAAGAACTGCAAGTCAGCTAGCGTAGTACACAGAGTGTCGTGCCACTCACGCAGCGCCTGTCACAGGCCGTAGAACGGGCGCCGGAGGAGCCACTGGGTGTCAGAAGGGAAGGTAGTGGTGAAGCCTTGAGGACGGCGCAGGTAGACCTGCTCGTGTAGGCTGCAGTGAAGGAACGCAGTGGAGAAGTCGAGAGAGTGGAGCTCGTAATCACGCTGTGTTGCTATGTATAGCAAGGTCCGAAGAGTAGTCATCTTCGAAGGTCTGAAAGATGTCCACCCCCTCTTGTTGACTGAAGCCTCTAGCCACGTAGCGCGCCTTGAACACAGGCAGCTCTCCAGGGGGGCGCTTCACCTTGAAGAGTCACCGGCCATCGACTATGTTCACCCCAGGTGGGGAAACTGCGTCAACGTAGGTGCCGATGGATCTCCAAGATGCCATCTCCAGCTCCATGGCAGCTATCCACTGAGAGGCCTAGGGTCCCGAGGTCGCCTCAGCGTAAGTGCGAGGGGTCGGGATGTCAAAAGCGTCTGGGTCAACCTCAGGGACTAGCAGCATGGAGCTGAGATGGGAAGCATCCTCGGACAGGAAAGCAAGCTCGTACTGCATGTCCTCTAGGACGTCAGTGCCAAGGGCAGAAGAACCCTCGACGGACGGATGACAGACATGGTCAGAGACCAGAGCGGTGGCGTAGTCAAGGCGGTGGGTAGAGACGAAGTCAACAACAGCAGCGACGAGAGCGTCAAGGCTCGAGACAGTAACAGACGGGTCGGTAACGAGGGAGGTAAGTACCCGAGGAACAAGAGGACGAGCAACACGAAGGTAGTCACACAGAGGGGGAGGCGCGATAGCAAGCGACGACGGAGAGGGCGAAGGTAGGAGGGGAGGACGAGATGTGTGGGAACGAGAGTCATGACGAGCACGAGAAGGATGGCGAGACCAGACGTGAGACGGAGGAGTCTGGTCAGGAGACAAAGGAGGAATAATAGGAGGGAAACGCGGCGAGAAACGAGTCAGGGATGAGTCTGGCGGAGGAAACACAGGACCGTGGACAGGAAGGGGAGGAGATGGTGGGGGAGGCGCAGGCAAGCGGTCAGGGGAGGGAAGGCCGAGAAGGCGATGGGCGGACACCGGTGGCGACTGCTGCTGCGGCGGCTGCTCGACGCCGACACCTGGACCGCCAGCTGCACCCCGTCCACCTCTGGAACACTCCACTCCAGCACCCCCAGAACGAGCACCCCGGACGAGTCAAGAGGGAAAGCGAGGAAGACACATGGGAGAGTGTAGGCAGTGAGCTTGTCCATGCCAAAGGCACGAACGTGAGCGAGGCAGCCCCAGATGTGGAACGCAGACACGTCACCAAAAGACCCGGTCCAAAGAAGGATTGGCGAAACCTACGGCCGGTGGGAGCGCAGCCAGAGTTTAAGCTAGTGAGTGGTGTAGCGAATAGCGAACGGCCACAGAAAATGGGGTGTACCGGCATGAATCATGGAGGCACGAGCCACCTCCATGACCAAACCGATGCGTTGCTCAGCGACCCCATTTTGCTGCGGGGGGTCTGGTAGGGTGTATTACTGGGTGATCCCCTCGGCACGACAAGACTATCCAAGCCGACCAGTGGCGAACTCGCCGCCACGGTCGGAGTGGAGACACAACACAGGATAAAGAGGCCAGACACCAGGTCCCAGAGGAATGTCGCAAGGGGGGAACCTAAGGCGGCCTCGGTACAGACAGCGTACTGTTCGTGACCCAGGAACGCAGTGGTAACGCCGAGGTCCTGAAGACAACCGACACCAACTAAGTTCTGAGAGAACAAGTGGATGTGAAGGCCTGTAAGGGAACCCGAGGGAACTGCTGGACAAGGTAGGGTACTGTAGCTGCGAGCAACTACAGGACCAGACGAGGGGTCAGCAAGGGCGACAGCGGCAGGCGCGGCAAGCGGCGTGAGGTCGGGTGCGGGCGGTGGCACACAGTGCCAAAAAAAGGGCCCGGTCTGGAGCTGGTATTGGCAGCCGACTGCACCGAAGCCGTCGATAGACGTCGAGCTTCGAGGACCACCACCAACACCACCATCTCCGGGGGCTCTTGGCCACCCCAGCGGGAGGCGGGCTCACGTTTGCTGCTACTGCTGTTGCTGCTGATGCTGCTGCGGCAGCGACTGCTGCTGCTGCGGCAGCGTTTGCTGTTGCTGCGGCAGCTATTGCTCCTGGACACCCGCCCCAGCCTCCTCGTCCTAGCCACTGTCACCGCCGCTACCACCATCACCACGCCCTCCCTTGGCCGTGCGAGAATCCCAGACAGCGCGAGCGAGCGCAGCAGCAGTAAAGGCCTGACTCTCAGCAGTGATAGGGCCAGCAGGGAGGGGATCAGGCGCGGGGGGGGCGGGGAAGCAGGCCATCAACATGCATAGCCAGTGAGTGCCCATCCTGGCGCTGACCTGTCCGGTGCCGTCGAAGATCGACATGCCAGGTGGCGAAGTCGATTGCGTGCCCTTCCGCGTCCAAGCGAAGTATGGCGTCCGCCATCGCGCAACCTCAGAGGCACCGACTAGGCACGAGGGGCCGGCTGGGTGAGAGGGGCCGGCTAGGCGCGAGGGGCCGGCTGGGTGAGAGGGGCTGGCTAGGCGCAAAGGGCCGGCTAGGCACGAGGGGCCGGTTAGGCGTGAAGGGCCGGCTAGGCGCGAAAGGTCGGCTAGGCACGAGAGGCCAGCTGCGGCGCGAGAGGGGCCGATTAAGCGTGAGGGGCCTGCTAGGCGCGAGGGGACGGCTTCGGCGCGAGAGGGGGGGGGACGACTAAGCGCGATGGGTCGGCTAGGGCTCGAGAGGGGCCGGCTAGGCGCGGAGGGGCCGACTAGGCGCGAGGGGCCGGCTACGGCACGAGGGGCCGGCTAGGCGCGAGAGGGGCCGGCTGGGCGCGGAGGGGCCGACTAGGAGCGAGGGGCCGGCTAGGCGCGAAAGAGGCCGGCTGGGCGCGAAGGGTCGACTAGGCGCAAGACGGGTCGGCATGTTTAGAACATGTTAGACAAACGGAATGTGCGTATACACGTTCACCCAATCCAAACAAGCCGTGTGGAATCGTTGGGCCATCGCTCAGGGTCGCAAACAAAAAATGCAATGTGACGAGAAGTTGGACCAAACTGCCACGCGGCTCGAGAAATCTACACAGAAATGACGAAAGCGAAACTGCCAGAGCTAATAGACTTGGTTCACATTTACACAATTGGACACAAGACTTCACGCTTCTCGTCTGTACAGGTCTGGTCTGGCACCACTTATTGAGGGTGTCAAGTTTGAACAGCGGCTCCCTTCCGCTCTACGTTCTGCCCGTCAGGTTCGTCATCTAATCAAGCCCGTCCAAATGCACAAAACCAAAGTTTGCATTCGACACTTGGGCCCCATGAAAAGAGCACCTCTTGCCTCGCAAATGTTTTTCAGGTGGGCCAGACATGCACCAACCCAACAACCCACAAAACCCTCAATGGAACTCGCAGAGGCCAACGAATCTGCGAAGAATGGCAATTCCACGCGCGAGAATTCGTGCGACTGTTGCTGAACTACATCGGCCAGCACTTGGGAGTTTGCGTCAAACGTGTGCCTTGGCTTGAGAACTTGGGTGTGAAATTGTGTACAAACCATAAAATCGATTTCGAGTTTGAAGGCATTCGCTTTGGTGGCTGGGACACTGTCGAAAATTTAAATGGGCAACCAGAAAAACGAACGGACAAATGGAGCGGAACGGAGCCGCCGTTCGAAACTAGGGGGGTCAGTAACCACGAGTCGCACTGGGTCATGAACCAATCAGATTGCAACTGCTGCTTCCATCGAGAGTTCTGACGCGTGGGACCAGCAGAAACCAAGAGGCGGGAAACCAAGCAACCACTGACACAACGGTCACCCGAACACCAACGGACCCATATCGATTGATGAAACAGACCACAATCGAAGTTCTGACTGACCCTCGAGAGTTGTTTTCCGAATCTCGATAATGCCTGATCTCCGACAAAACGGCAAAACGGCAAGTCCATTCAAGGGTTCTGGTGAGGCTATCTTGTCTCCTGGTCACCTTATCAGCTTACTAAGTTCGACTGGCGACCGCGAGAAGCTGTTTTGCCGCCCTCTGCATGCGGGGTGTCTCCATCCGTCGTCCAATCACGATACGCCGAAGCTCCTTTGTCAGTTCAATGCCTGAACCCTACACGATCCAGCCACGTCGTGAGCTGAAGTTGAGCGTAGGGCCCGAAAGTTTCTTAGTGTATCCCAAGCTGAGAAAATAGTCACTCGAGAAGGAAGTACGCTGTCGCCGCGAGCACTTTGTCCCAAATCTTTCAAATAGGAAGGCAGTCTCCTTCGATCTTCTCTTGCTTGTGCCAACGACAGCTCGTGTAGGGATTAATCTAGAACGTACTATAAGGAGAATGTACTTAGAAGCAGATGACCTTCCAGAATCACGCCTATGGTTTGCCCATCTGTGGTGGAACACAGGCCGTTGCACCCTTCCTATCAAGTCCAGTCGCTAGGTCCTTACATTGCGAATGTCCTGCTGTTCCCGCTTAGGCACATTCCATCGCAACTGCTGCTTTCGTACGCACATCTTGTGCACGACCCGACTCGCTGCTAAGCAGGCGAGGCACGGAACCCACTGTAGCGCGTATGTCCCAGTCATAAACATAACGTAAGCGACGCCGTTATTAGAGCGGTCATAGAGTCGCCATTCTCGATGGGTGCGCAGGAGGAGCGAGCGCTAGATGTAGAAAGGGATCCCGGACGTCTAAGCGACGCTCCCGCGTCTCCCTTCTCAGCGTCTCGTCGACATAGCCTGCATTCCTCCAGGGTCATAAGTTTCCAAAATGTTGCTAAGATTACATTCTTTCTAACCTTAGTGTTACTCTTATGTGGGTTCAAAGTAGTCTTTCAACGAGGACACTCCGCAGGAGACCTCTCAGCTGATATTTTCTCTCTGCTAAGCGCCGACGGGGGAGAGAACCTTCCTGTAACGATCTACACCACCACTGGTGGCAGGACCCAACGGTCGACGAATCTGACCCTAAACATGTCGACATCCTGCATGCAGACTCTAAGATCGCATTTCATAACCAAGCTAAGGAAAGATCAACAGTCCGAGCTGGTGGAGCCCTGTCAAGTTAGCGCCTGTGCTGCATTCAAGGAGTGGGCTCGGCGCGCTGCTGCTAGGGAAGCCGAGTCGAACCGTCGATACGCCCTCGCGTTTAAAGCCGGAATTGGTAGCAATAGAAGCACCACCGGCAGCAGCAGCAGCAGCAGCAGCGATAATGGCAGTAGCGATGCCAGCGGTAGCAGCAGTAGCAGCAGTGAAACCAGGGACAGTAGCGAATCCCCCAATGGGAGTAAGAGGGATACCCGGGGCAAAAGCGTTAGCGACGAAAGCAGTGCTAATGCGACCACCGTGGATGCTTCAGGAACGTCAGATGCTGCTGCTGCTACCAAAAAGGAGAGGCGGCTACAAGACCAACTACCAGACAGGCTACGAGAAACGTCGGATCTGGGTTTTTCTTTGGTGGAGCGGCGTCAGGCTGATGGGTTCGGCGTGTTATGCAGCCAAGGCTGGCACCAAGACGTGTTACATCGGGTTACCAGCAGGAATCACCTGATTGAGGCGTTCAATCTGGGGAGTGTTAGTGTTGAGAAGATTTCGGAGGGGCTGACGACGGTGTGCGACCATATGCGACAGGTGGAGGGGAGGCTGACGAATCAGAGCTCGTCGTCACAGTGCGAGGAGTGGTCGGAGTCGTGCTGGCCGATTCCACACCTGCCCTTCTCCTTTCTCACAGTGAGTTTCTCTCTATGACGCGAGTGCTTGCTTCATGTTATGTGTGTTCTGCTTGATTTGGGCTATTATGACTTAACCCCTTCGTTGTATTGCAAGGCTTTTCCCGCCGCAAGTGTTTGTGCTGCCGCTCGCCATAGATTAGATGGGAAACGACCGCGTTCACCATAGAGTAGATGCATTACAGGACTCGCCATGCACTCTTCCCAACTCCTCCTTACCGGACTTCCCTCGCCGCAAGTACCAGGTGCTGGCGCTGACCATGGAGCAGATGAGCAACGGCCGAACGCACTTCGTCCCTCTTTCCCTCCTCATCCGCGCTCCCCTTCAGGACTTCCCTCGCCGCAAGTACCTGGTGGTAGCACTCACTATGGAGCAGACGAGCAAAGCCAGTACCTATCTAGACCCATGTTCGCGCACTTCTCTCTCACTTCTCGTCCCCTATCCTCTCTTCAGGACTTTCCTCGCCGCAAGTACCTGGTGCTGGCGCTGACCATGGAGCAGATGAGCAACGCCCGAACGCACCTGGCAGAGGCTGCTCGCATTGCAAAGGAATCCGGCCGCATCCTCGTGCTGCCCAAGGTAGGTGCCATCCAAGGTAGGCATTACCCAAGGTGCTACTCAAGTTAGGTGCTATTCAAGGTAGGTGCCGCTCGTCACTACTGGATGGTGCTTCTTTCCCCGCCCCTCGTCCCAGGCGGACTACAGCCGCCTCTCTGTGGCTCGCCAGCACGAATTGGGACCTCTCTCGCTTCTCCAGGGTGGTGTGGGTGTGTTCCTCTCCGCCAATGTCGCCTCCATCACCTCCCCCCTGCTCCCTGATCCATCCCTTCCCCAACCCCCTTTCCAGGCGGACTGTAGTCGTCTCTCTGTGGCTCGCCAGCACGCCATCTGCACCTACTGGGACCTCTCTCGCTTCTCCCGCGTGGAGTGGGTCTCACCAGAGTTCTTCCTCCTCACTGCCCGCGCTGCCCTGGTCAACCCCACCGTGGGGTTCATCTGCGTACAGACGGAGTCCCTGCACCGGCCCTGCTTCAAATACGGTGAGTGGCGTGGATGGGTGGATGGGTGGATGGGTATGATGTATGATGTATTATGTATGATGTATGATGCATGATGCATGATGCATGGCACATGAAACAGGAGAGCTAGTGTAGATCCTGGTTCAGGTGCTGGACATTCGCCATGAGTGATTCGCTAAAAAAACTCTTACTGTATTCCACCCGAATACATGATGTATGACGCATGGCGCATTTATAGGGGAGCTAGTGGACACCCTGGGTCAGGTGGTGACATTCGCCGTGGGGCATGTGTGATTGGGCTAATGCGCTCTCCCATATGTCGCCTGTGATGTTCGATGCATGACACATAATGCAGGAGAGCTAGTGGACATGCTGGGTCAGGTGCTGACATTCGCCATGGGGCATGTGCCCGTGCCTAGCAACACCATTGACATCAAGATGCCGCAGTCCAAGGACGTCTTCGATATGCTCCTCCATGCATGGTTAGTGTGTCTTTTTGGTGTTTCACACTGTATTTGTTAGCCCAGTTCTCATTAGCCACCTTAGTAGCTACCTTGGTGGCTACCTAAGTAGCTCATTTGAAATCCTGTCGAACTCATGGGGCGTAGTATGTGTGGTTCGAGGGTGCGTTTCATACGTATTCTCTCTTGCGGTTTGTGTGTGACTCCTCGTTGATTAAACTGCAATGGATCCGTGATTCATGTGCGAGGCATCTGCAATGGGTGTTTTATTCGTAATTTATTCATGCTTCCCTGTGAGTCATGCAGGAGCGACCGGGACGTGATTGTATGGATGAAGACGACCTTCCAGCGGATCAAGTATGTGCCAACAACGGATGTGATTGTACACGCTGTTCTGCCCTACCAAGCCAAGTGGCACGACGCGGCAGCAGAGATCATTGCGAGACTGCCCCGGCCAATCATTGGAGTGCATTTCCGGTCCGAGTTTATTGCCTGGAATGTGGTACGTGGCCTGCGTATTGTGGTTTGGGTTGACTCTAAAGCAAAAACGTTGGAGTGCATATCTGGTCCGAGCTCATCTCCAGGAATGTGGTACGTGCCCCATGCGACTGCGACGTATTGACATGTGTTTGTTGTTTGATTGCTCCTTCCCCACCTACAGGCCCAAGGTCTTAACCGCAATACGTCCTGGGAGGAGGTGCAGCAGCAGCTGCGGCAGTAACAGCTCCAGCAACAGCAGCTGCAGCAGTAGCAACGGACACCCCCTCACAGATTCCCCCCTCTATTTTGTTCCTTCCCCACCTACAGGCCCAAGGTCTTAACCGCAACACGTCCTGGGAGGAGGTGCAGCAGCAGCTGCGGCAGCAGATGAAAGTATGTGTGCAGGCAGCTGAAAGCAAGATCAACCAAGTGAGAGTGAAACTCCAAACCGAGCAGCACAAGCAACATAAGCGGCAGCTGCAGCAGCAGCAGCAGCAGCGCCGCTTGCTCCGTCAACGGAATGAAACACGCACCAACAGCGGCAACAACACCAACACCAACAACAGCACCAGCAGCAGCAGCACCACCACCACCAGCAGCACCAGCAGCAGCAGCAGCAGCAGCAGCGACACAATAATCAACGGGTTGGGGCAGACCCTTGTGGGCCCCACGGTGTTCATAGCAGCTGACATCCCGTACAACGCATCGGCTGCCATGCTGCCACGGTCGGAGTCGTGGCGGGGCATGGAGCTGTGGATGGGGCGCAAGAACACAGGGAGGGCGTCGTGGGCGGCGCTGCACTGGCTGAGGCAGCATGTCGAGGGGACGGTCATGATCGACGAGGTGGTGCCAGCTGTCAACAGCTACGATCCAGGTGTGTGTGCATGTGATTTAAGTGGTGGATGGTTGCGTCATGATGGATGAAGGGAGATCACGGGCCATGGAATGAGCTGTAAGGTGCCTCAAGGGTCGGTCGGAGTCGTGGCGGGGCATGGAGCTGTGGATGGGGCGCGCAAGAACACAGGGAGGGCGTCGTGGGCGGCGCTGCACTGGCTGAGGCAGCACGTGGCGGGGACGGTCATGATCGACGAGGTGGTGCCAGCTGTCAACAGCTACGACCCAGGTGGGTTCATGTGGGATGGTTGAGGGGGATGGTACTTCTAGGGTGGCTGCGCTGCACTGGCTGAGGCAGCATGTGGTGGGGACGGTCATGATCGACGAGGTCATGCCAGCCGTGAACGGTTACGACCCAGGTAGGTGTGGGCGGGAGGGCGTTCTGGGGAAGGGGGATGTTGTCGGGGCGGATGGTGCACAGGAAGCGCTGCACTGGCTGAGGCAGCATGTGGGGGGGACGATAATGATAGATGAGGTCATGCCAGTTGTGCATGTGCGTAGAGTGATGGATGGTTGTGGTGTGGTGCGGTGTCATGGATCGCAAAGGTGGAAGCTGTATGGGCGCATGGAACGAGGGGGGCATGGAACGAGGGGGGCATGGAACGAGGGGGCCATGGAACGAGGGGGCATGAGTCGACTCAAAAGCAGTCTCATTACACACGGTCTCCATCCTCAGTATGCTGGTCTGCCAAGGCGGATGTGCTCATAGCAGCAAAGAGGTGCCCAAACCCTCTCTCCTGTCTCATCCAATCCCTCATGCTCCTCCCCCCCCCATCCTTTCTCTGTGCCAACCCTTGGCCCTTCCTCAGGCATCGTGTCCATCCTCGACAAACTTGTGATCGCCAAGGCTGATGTGTTTGTGACAGCAGAACGGTACTGTGGGGGCAAGAGGGGCTTCGAATCGGACATAATCCAGCACAGGGATGAGTTTGGGCAGCCGCCCGATAGTGTTGTGAGGTGGGGATGAATCCAGTTGATTAGTTAGGTACATAAGCCTGTATGCACTTAGGCAGGTTTGGTTGTACCAGTAGCAGCCGTACGCTGCTGCAGCACATGATGAGTTTGGGCAGCCACCCGATAGCGTCGTTTTGGATGAAGTGACTGTACCAGCAGCAGTGGAGCGGTGCAGCATAGGGATGCATTTGGGCAGCTGCCCGATAGTGTCATCGGATGGGGATGAAATGAGTAGATTAGTAAGGTACATAAGCCTGTATTGCATTGTAGGGAGGGTATCCTCTTTACCAAAGTGCGTAATGAGCACTAGGCTGGTTTGGTATTATTAGGTGGGGTTGTTTTGTACCGAAGTGCGTAGTGAGCACTAGGCTGGTTTGCTTTTAGTACCAGTAACAGTTAGAAGTGGACTGCAATGAGCCAATCTGCGAAGTCACAATAGAGCATGTGCACAATCGCACAAGAATGGTACGGGTAGCTTACCAGAAAGGCAGCACCAGAGTTTACTTGGGGGGGGGCGAGCAGAGCAGAGGTGCAAACTGGTGGGATCCTCAACTCGCTGGTTGAATGTGCCGCTGTTGTGCCGTGCTGTATAAGGGAGACTGTCATGCCTTTCCCTTCTACTTTCTCTACTTCTTGTGTATGCTATGTATACAATATGCCATCCAGAGGAGGCCGGTTGTGCAGGTGTTGCTCTGTGGCAGCTGGATGGTTGATTGGGCCAGAGGAAAGGGCGGTAATCGGCGTAGAGGCCAACAGGGAGAGGCCAGCATATATATGTGTACGGCTGCACTAAGCCATTCAGGGGAGGCCGGTTGTGCAGGTGTTGCTCTGCGGCAGCTGGGTGATTGATTGGGCCAGAGAGAAGGGCGGTAATCAGCGTAGAGGCCAACGGGGAGAGAGGCCAGCATAAATACGTGCACGACTACACTATGCCATCCAGGGGAGGCCGGTTGTGCAGGTGTTACTCTGTGGCAGTTGCGTGATTGGGCCAATCACGAGCCGCCAGAGGTCGAGGAGTATGGTAACCAGCATGGAGGCACCGAGGGAGTCCACTGCCACCCGGGAGAGAGCCCAGGGCTCCGATGGGTTCTCATCGATTCTGAGGGGAAAGGGGTTAGAGGAGAGGGGATGGGAGGGAGGGAGGAGCGGAAGGGGGGGGTTGACGAAATGGTAACCAGCCACCAGGGAGAGAGGCCTGGGAGCCCACAGCCACCCGGGAGAGAGGCCTGGGAGCCCACAGCCACCCGGGAGAGAGGCCTGGGCTCTGAGGGAAAAGGAGTTAGAGGGAGCGGGGGAGGGGGGGGAAGAGGGGGGTTGAGGAAACCCCAGGAGATTCTGCTGCCACCTGGCGGGAGGGAGGCCACCTCTCAGACGGGTTCGAATCTATTCTGAGAGGATAAGAGAGGGAGAGATGGAACCCAGTAGAAAGCGTAGAAGAGCGAGATTTGAGGCATTTCAACAGACACACACAGTTGCTTATGCGCACACGCGCTCTCGCACACGCACAGACGCTCACCGGAAGAAGAAAGGGAAGCTGACAACGAAGTAGAGTGCGTAAAAGAGCGTGCCGACCCGATACATGGCGGCCTTGTCCACAAAGGTGTAGTACTCAAACTGACGGGGTGGTGGTGGGGAGGGGGGAGGGTGGAAATAGGGAGTTGTGCTTTAAGGCGAATTTCAAGTGGGAGAAAGCTGCATATGGAAGAAAGGGAGAGGGGGAAGCCCAAAAGAGAAGGACATTGCTTTGATCACAAAAACGCAGCTCAGTGTGTAATGAGTCTATTTTTGAGTCGACTAAAAAATAGACTCATTACAGAAGGACATTGCTTTGATCACAAAAACACAGCTCAAATAACACCCCCGAGCGCAGCAATGCCATCATCGGATCACAAAGTGATCACAGAAGCATTACAAAAGCACTGCAAAGACACAGCAATGCCTTGATAACACAAAAGCCTCAAGGCCCTTCATTTCGTGCAGCTAACACGAAGGGGACGCTGCCAGGCAAGGATGGGGAGGGGGCAGGAGGCCATCAAAGGGATACGCCAAGTGCTTCCCACGAAACACTCGACACGAAGTGTTGTGTTCCCACGAATGCTTCGGAGCTGTGATCCTCGAACAACATTTGAGAGATTTTTGAGTCGACTCAAAAATCACCTGTGATGTAGGCGAGAGCTGTGATCCTCGAACAACATTTGAGAGCTGCTCGAGGGGCTCTCGAGAGATGCGACGGACGAACGTGACTCTTCCGTTAGCAATTAATATTAAAGCTGTGATGCAGGCGAGAGCTCCCTGAACGACATACTAGGGCATGGACGAGCGTGATTCTTACGTTGGCAATAGTAGCTGTTTCCATGAAAGCTGTGATGTACGAAAGAGCGAGTATCCACGCTCCCTGAACGAGAAGCGAAAATACGGACGAGCGGGACGAGGAGGAGGAGGAGGAGGAGGAGGGGGAGGGTTTGGATTTGGAGTGAGCAGAGGAGGAGGAAGTAGAGGAGGGGGAGGGTTTAAATTTGGAGGCCGGGGGGGTGTTGAGGAAGTGCCTGAGGCGGCGAATGGTGACGTTGGAGATGACGTGGTAGAAGCAGAAGTAGGCATGGGTCAAGAGGTAGAGGGCAAAGGGCACCTGCATGTGTGGGGGGAGAGGGGAGTGGGTGGGGAATAATGACGTCACTATGAGGAATCGAGAACGGTGATGTTGGAAATGATATGGTAGAAGCAGAAGTAGGCATGGGTGAGCAGGTGGAGCGCTAAGGGCACCTGCGTTGAAGGGGTAATGGGAGGAGGGGGGGGGGGGGGGGGAGATGGGGGGGTCGGTATGAAACAGAGGACGGCGAAGGCGAAGGTGGAAATGACAGGGTAGGAGCAGACGCACGCATGGGTGAGGAGGTAGAGAGCGCAAAGGGAACCTGCAAAGTAAGTGAAGCGAGGAAAGCTGAAACGCTAGGAGGGAAAGGCGTAGGCGGGCTCTTCAGAAACGAGTTCTGGATGGAAAGCTGGAGGGGGAATCTTGGTGCCAAGAGTCTATTTTTGAGGCGCCTCAAAAATAGACTCCTCATCTTGGTGCCAAGAGCCTCTCTTCAGGACTGGGCACAGTCTGTCCCTGTCCTCTGGACCTCAGCATGTTATGTTATGTTGAGAATTCTATTAAAAAAAAAACACGACCTAGCTTTGGGCCATGTGAGCTGGGCTAGGAGCAGCTAGGAAGAGACTTGTAGTAATAACTCTTGCGAAGTCTCACCTTTGGGAAGCCCATAAAACCAGTGTATGGACATTGGTGAGCCGCCAGGAGGGGAAGGTACAGGGGCCCCGTCGAAGAGTGTAGCAGTAGTGCGTCCAGTTCAGAAGTAGCTGCTTGCCCACGACGCTGAATACCGCTGGGTTCATTGAAGTGAACCCGCACTCATGGATGCACTCATGGATGCACTCATGGATGCACTCATGCATGCACTCATGGATGCACTCAGCTCAACCCTGCCATATACTCATGCTCACATCGTTGAGTCGCCAGGAGGGGAAGGTGTACGATGCACCCAGGAGAGTGTAGAAGTAATGCGTCCAGAAGTAGTTGCCCACGAAGCTGAAGATCGCAATCCACACGTTTGCCTTCACCCAGTGCTGCTCGTGCCACGGCCGCGCCTTGTCAGCCTGGAATAGGATATGGTGGATGGGTGGGTGGGTGGGTGGATGGATGGATGGATGGATGGATGGATGGATGGATGGATGGATGGATGGATGGATGGATGGATGGATGGATGGATGGATGGATGGATGGATGGATGGATGGATGGATGGATGGATGGATGGGTGTACGGGTGTTTGAGCCGCCTCGCTCACGTTTGCCGTCATCCAGTGCTGCTCGTGCCATGGCTGCGCCCTGTCAGCCTGGAATAGGATATGGTGGATGGGTGGGTGGGTGGGTTGGTGGGTGGGTAAGTGGCACACAGTGCAGCACACTTTAGGAAGGTCGCACATGTGTGAAAGAAGGGCGATCGCCTTCACCCAGTGCTGCCCGTGCCATGGCCGCGCCCTGTCAACCTAGAATAGGATGGGTGGATGAGTGGGTGGATGGGAGGATGGGACACAGTGCACCACGAGTCATGGCGCGCATGTGTGCAAATGCAAATGCGCTCACACATGCTCGCCTTCACCCACGGCTGCCCGTGCCACGGCCGCGCCCTGTCAGCCGGAAAGAAGGTTTATGGATGGATGGATGGATGGATGGATGGATGGATGGATGGATGGATGGATGGATGGATGTATGGATGGATGGATGGATGGATGTATGGATGGATGGATGGATGGATGGATGGATGGATGGATGGATGGATGGATGGATGTATGGATGGATGGATGGATGGATGGATGGATGGATGGATGGATGGATGGATGTATGGATGGATGGATGGATGGATGTATGGATGGATGGATGGATGGATGGATGGATGGATGGATGGATGGATGGATGGATGGATGGATGGATGGATGGATGGATGGATGGATGGTAATTATTTCCAATCTAAGGTTGTGCACGGATACAACTGGCACACAACTGGGCATACAACTGGGCTGGGCATACAGCTGGGCATACAGCTGGGCATACAGCTGGGCATACAGCTGGGCATACACAGATATGTACATGGCACGGAAGCATGCAGGGAAGACATACCGGGCACAGTATGGCGGGTGGAACGAGGACGCATGGCAGCGCTGCTGCGAGGCCCACCAGCAGATACTCGCGCTCGGTGAATCGCTGGGAGAGGGGGGTGGGGGGGTGCGGGTTGCCCATAAGAGGGATGGGGGGACATGGGGGATCTATTTTGTAGGCGCCTCAAAAATGGACATGGGGGATAACCCGTGCGAAGAGAACTTCGCAGACGCCTAGCGCTGCTGCGAGGCCCACGAGCATCGGATACTCCCGCTCCGTGAAGCGCTGGGAAGGGGGGGGGGGGGGGGGGGGGGGTTTACATGGGGGATTTCCCGTGGGAGGGATGGGGGGATAAGATAGTTGCTGCGAGGCTCACCGGCAGATCCTCCCGCTCGGTGAAGCGCTGGGAGGGGGGGAGGGGAGGGGAAGGGGGAGTGGGGGGGAAGCGAGCACGGGTCGACATGGACAGTCAGCTTCTTCAGGGAGACGTCTCAAAACCAACCTTAGAGCACGGCTAGGCATGAACAGGCAGCTTCTTCAGACGCCTGGCGCTGCTGCGAGGCCCGCCAGCAAATACTCCCACACAGAGAGAGGGAGGGGGAGGTTGGGGTTATTGAAATGGGGCTCATTGACGACAACGGTAGAGCCCGTCAATCCAAAATACTATTTAGTCGACTCAACAGTCCCCTGGATCGGCAGAGAGGGGGCTGGGTACCTTATACAGCTGAAACGTGACGATAATGCCGAGAGCCTTAGTGATCCTAACGGTAAAGTTCACCCAAACGGTTTAGTCCCCTGTATCGGCAGAGAGGGAGCTGGGTACCTTGTAGAGCTGAAACGTGACGATAATGCCGAGAGCCCATGTGATCCAAACGGGGGAGTAGTAGAGGAAGAACTTTTCCGCCCATCGCTTGCTGGGCGTCTCCGCCAGCCACATGGCGGCTGCTGATTGGACTCAGCCGGAGCGAACTAACTTTCCAGCTGATTGTAACTTGGAAGAAGAAACGCGGTTGTACGCTGCTGTTACGGGGAGAGCGAAAGATGCTACCTCGAGAGGGGAGCGTTGAGCTAGCAGATTGAAATCTGGGAATCGGACGAAGAGGAAATGTGGGCGGCTGTGTCTGCATAAATTAGTGGTTGTTTGTTACACGGGGACCTAAATCCCTTATAATCGGCCGAGGTTTGCTGCTGGCCGTCCGATCTGGGTGTGTTGACCAGCCCTTGGGATTGCCTTGGCGGGGGGGAGGTGGGAAGGCGGGCGGCTCGCCACGTGGGACAGGTCGAGTGGCTCACAGCACACATTCTGATTTGCGGGAAGGGCGTGTACTTTATCCGCAACACCCGTTCGTTGGGTCACTCAGCAAGGTGATCGGGATTCTGGGGCGACACGAGCTATTTTAAAGCCCAGGTCTCAAATTAGAAGAAGCGATCAAACAGGGCTAATAACAGCGCATTGACTGCACATTTTCCAGGGTTGGTTGGTTGTGATTTGCACGAAGGTCTGTAACCTACGCTGAGTGTATTTGACACGAACTCAATATGACACAGAAATAGGGCTCGCTTGCAACTCCGAAACAGAACTCCTGGCCACCAACAAAGCTGGCGTAATTATATTTCAAAACACAAAGAGAGTGCCTTTCCGCTTACTGACAACCTTTGTATCGAGGTTAAATATGGGGGAGAGGCCACATCCTTGACCCCTGGTATCCCCTCATAGTCCATCGCACGCTGGTTTTAGTCACTTGCGCTTCTAGTCACACATTAATCGCAGCGAAGCCTCTATCTCCGCCGACTGCGGGAAGATTCGTTCGAGTGACTTCGTAAGGCACAAAATGCGGAGCTCGTTACATTCGCAGCTGTGATTCTCCCTCGTTGTAGCCACGTTGCAGTCACACGTGAATCTTCGTATTGTCACAATGGACCTCCTACCTCGAGCGTGGTACGATCAAGCCGGCAGCATCGAGGATTCGTTAGTAGCTTCCTCGACAAAGGTTTCTCCCTCGAACAACCCCCTTCAACCCTCGCAATCCCCTGCTAAAACCCCGTCAAAGAAATCTCTAGTCAAGAAGGCCCGCCAAAAAAAGGGAGCGGCGGAAACCGCAGGCAAGGTTGCAGATGCCTCCGCGGAGGCGGGGGAGGTAGCTGACGCGAATGGGAGCTCGGCGGAAGGCGCAGGGGCGGGCGGGGGGGAAGCCTCGAGCGCGGGGGAAGGAGTGCAGGCGGAGGACCCGCGTGGGGGACTGTCGGAGGCGGAGTGGTTGGCGCTGGCGGAACGGCTGCGGGGGGAAGGGGACGCGCTTTTGAAGGAGGCGGCGGAAGCGTACGAGCGGCGCAAGGAGAGCAGCAGCGACGCCAGGTGGCTCGCTGCCGTCCGTCGATCTGGAACGGCCGCAGATCGTGTGGCTGCGCTGACTGTGGTTATACAGGATGACCCTGTAGCGAATCTCGGCAACCTGGACGCCCTTTTGGGTAAGATTCACTGAATTGAATCGGCCCTGTAGGGAATCGAGTCTGTGCTTGCCGTTCAATTCTCCGTTTCCTTTCCCTTCGCTTTCCCGATAATTTCCCTTTCCTTTCCCGAAACCACTTTTGAACCCTTCTTAAACCTTCCATGCAGCCGTTGTGGTGACTGAAGCCACCAAGCGCCACGCCATAGGAGCCATGGACGCTCCCTGCGTCCTCTTCACCTCCTCGCTGCTCCTTTCCCCTCCCCTCTCTCACCTCCCTTTCCCCTCCTCCCCTGCCTGCTTCCCGAACCTCTTCCGAACCTCTCCCAAACCTTGCATGCAGCCATGGTGGTGAATAAAGCCACCAAGCGCCACGCCATAGGCGCCATGGAATGGACGCCCACTGCGACCTCTTCAGCTCGTCCCTGCTCCGTCGCATTCTCATCCCTATGCATGGGAGGGGTTGAGGCACGCCATCTTTGCCTCATCCCTATGCATGGGAGGGGTTGAGGCACGCCATCTTTGCCTCATCCCTATGCATGGGAGGGGTTGAGGCACGCCATCTTTGCCTCATCCCTATGCTGGGCCTTGCTTCGCCTCCCTCCATCCCTCCCTTCTTTGCCTCAACCCCTCCCATGCACCCATGGTGGGCAACAAGGCCACCAAGCGAGGTGACTTTTGAGTCGACTCAAAAGTCACTTCTTTGCCTCAACCCCTCCCATGCAGCCATGGTGGGCAACAAGGCCACCAAGCGAGGTGACTTTTGAGTCGACTCAAAAGTCACTTCTTTGCCTCAACCCCTCCCATGCAGCCATGGTGGTCAACAAGGCCACCAAGCGCCACGCCATAGGCGCCATGGACGCGCTCTGCGAGCTCTTCACCTCCTCGCTGCTCCCAGACGCGCGCAAGCTGCGCTGGCTGCACCAGCAGCCGCTGCTGCTGGTCTCCCCGTTAAAACCCCCCTCGCTACAAGCAACCAGCGCAGGAAAGGTGACTGTAGTGGGGGGGGAGCCAGGCAAGCGGCTGCTGCGGCTGTGGCGGTACGAGGAGTGCCTAAAGGAGCGGTTCGAGCGGTTCCTAGAGGGGCTGGAGGAGGGCGGGAAGGATGTTTTGGAGTTTGTACGCGATAAGGTGCTGCGGATCCTGCACGTGCTGCTCTCGTCCAAGCCAGAGGGGGAAAGAAGGGTGCTGCAGGCGTTGGTCAATAAGGTGAGAGAGGTTTTCCCGAGGTCTTTGGGTGGGGTAGTGAATGTGTGAAGTGAAATGACGGAGTGGAGGTGTGAGTATGTGTGAACAAGGTGCGAGAGTCCCCCTTCGCTGTGCAGACGCAGTTTGTGCGCGCCAAGGTGTTGAGGATTCTGCACGGGCTGCTATCCTCAAAGCCAGAGGCGGAAAGAGGGGTGCTGCAGGCTCTGGTTAACAAGGTGAGAGGTTTTCCCTGGGCTGCCAGAAGGCAGTTGGTTTGTACACTGAAAACAAGGGGTGCTGCAGGCTCTGGTGAATAAGGTGAGGGTGGGGAAGTGCCTTTTGAGTCGACTCAAAAGTCACCTGGTGAACAAGGTGAGGGTGGGGAAGTGCACGCGTCTGCACGTGCTGCTGTCGTCCAAGCCAGAGGGCGAGGCGAGGGTGCTACAGGCGTTGGTCAACAAGGTGAGAGAGGTTTCTTCGAGGCCTTTGTGTGTGAAGGCCTCGAGGAAACCCGCCCTTCACACAAAGGCCTCGAGGAAGTGTGTGTGTGAAGGAGTGTCGGTATGAGTACGTGTGTGAACGAGGAGTGCTTGAAGGAGCGGTTCGAGCGGTTCCTCGAGGGGCTGGAGGAGGAGGGGAGGGACGGGCTGGAGTTTGGGCGCGATAAGGTGCTGCGGATTCTCCACGTGCTGCTGTCGTCCAAGCCGGAGCAAGGTGAGGGAGTGTCCCTGGGGCGCCAAGAAACTGTTTGTTTGTGCCCTGATGAGATTCATGGAGGGGCTGGAGGAGAGCGGGAAGGACTTTTTGGAGTTTGTGCGCAATAAGGTGCTGAGAATTCTGCACGTGCTGCTGTCGTCCAAGCGGGAGGGGGAGAGGCGGGTGCTGCAGGCGCTGGTCAATAAGGTGGGGGAGTCTCCCTGAGGCGCCTAGTAATGGTATGGCGCCTGCAGGTGTTGAGGAGGCACAAAAGGTTTGTACGTGATATCGCGCTGCAGGTGATTTTTTACTCGACTCAAATATCGCGCTGCAGGTATTGCACGTGCTGCTGTTGGCAACCTCCCCCCCCTTCCCCCCCCTTCCCCTCCCCTCCCTCCAACATGGCGCCTGTAGTGGTCAAACAGGTCAAAACGTTTGTCTTCCGCCCCAACATGAGCACGCACTTGCTTCCTTCCCCTCTTCTCCCCTCCCCCTCCCCTGCCCCCTCACAGCTGGGTGATCCGAGCCGTAAGTTGGCGTCTAAAGCCAGCTACCTGCTAGGCTGCCTGCTGGACGGGCACCCCAACATGGCGCCTGTAGTCGTCAAGCAAGTGGAAGCCTTTGTCTTCCGCCCCAACATGAGCACACGGTTGCTTCCTTCCCCTCTTCTCCCCCCCCCCTCCCCTGCCCCCCCACAGTTGGGTGATCCGAGCCGTAAGGCGGCATCCAAGGCCACTACCTCCTGGGGTGCCTCCTAGACGCCCACCGCAACTTGGCACCTGTGCCGGTCAAACAAGTCGAAGCCTTTGTCTTTCGCCCAAACATGAGCATGCGCGCGCCACTACGCCGCCGTCTTCCTCAACCATATCACCCTGTTCCACTGCCCTCTCCTCCCCTCTCCTCCCCCCCCCCACCCATCAAACTCCCCTTCTGTAGCTCGGAGATCCGAGCCGTAAGGTGGCCTCTAAAGCCAGTTATCTGCTAGGCTGCCTGCTGGACGCCCACCCCAACATGGCGCCAGTCGTCATCAAGCAAGTCGAAGCCTTCGTCTTCCGCCCCAACATGAGCACGCGCGCACGCCACTACGCCGCCGTCTTCCTCAACCATATCACCCTGTCGTACCGAGGGCTGGGGCCCATGCTGGCGCGCCAGCTGATCGATCTGTACTTTGCTGTGTTCAAAGTGGTGACTGTGGGGGACGGAGGGGCTGGGGAGGGGGAGGGGAAGGGGAGGTGGGAGGGGAGAGGTGCGGAGAGGGGTGGAGGAGGGAGAGGGAGTGGGAGGGGTGGGAGGAGAGGAGGAAGGGGAGCGAGAGGAGGGAGAGGAGGGAGGGGAGGGAGGGGGGGGAGAGGGGGGAGAGGGGGGAAGGAACGGTTTGTTTCAGCAGCAGCAGCGCCGGGAGTGAAGGGAGCTGAAGGGCATGAGCTGGAGGCCGACAGCGCCCTGCTGTCGGCTCTTTTGACAGGTGGGTTGATAGTGGGTAAGCTATTAATGAGTATACTACTCCGGTCTAGTGCTCATGGGAGGGAATTGAAGTGCCTGAGCTGGAAGGAAGCCGATAGTGCTCTGCTCTCTGCGCTTCTAACAGCTGTGTTGCTAACGAGTATGTTGTTAACGAGTACGTTGCTCTCTAGGGTAGATTGATTGTCATGAAACGTCATGAGCTGGAGGCTGCTTGTGCACTGCTCTCAGTCCTTCGAACAGACTTGAATTCTGCTTTTTTACAATTTCGAATCTGGTATGCTTCTGCGGGTCTTTTCCCCTTAGTAGCAGAGGATGATGTGGCAGAAGTGATCGAGACCCAAACCCCTCTGCTCTTCTGCATGGTGCACGCATCCAGCTTCAGCCTCGCCGTGCAGGCGCTCATGTCACTGTCCCCTTCATGTCACAGTCCCCCACCCTTTCTCTCCCCCGCCCCCACCCCTCGCTGCTACAGGGGTCAACCGTGCATTCCCCTATGTGGCTGAAGACGACGTGGCGGAGGTGATAGAGACGCACACGCCAATGCTCTTCCGCATGGTGCACGCCGCCAGCTTCAACCTCGGCGTGCAGGCACTCATGCTGCTCTTCCAGCTCATGGCCAAGAGCGAGGCTCTCAGTGCACGCTACTACCGCGCTCTCTACTCGGTGCTCTTCTCGCCTGTCCTCGCCAAGTCCTCCAAAGTAAGTGAGAGGCCTCACGAGACTGAGTTTGGGTAAGGAGCGTGCAGGCCCTCCTGCTGCCCTTCCAGCTCATGGCAAAGAGCGAGGCTTTAAGCGCACGGTACTGCAGGGCTCTGTATTCGGTGCTCTTCTCGCCTGTCCTCGAAGGTGGGTGAGCTTGAGAGGGGGTTTGGCTCACATGGTGCGCGCGCATGCCACACCTTGTGGCGTCCACGTGGTGACATTGACAGGCCCTCCTGCTGCCCTTCCTTCCATCTCATGGCTAAGAGCAAGGCTCTAAGTGCGCGGTACTACCGCGCTCTCCACTCGGTGCTCGTCCTTGCGAAATCGTCCGAGGTGGGTGAGGAGGATGCGATTAAGGAGCTTGTAGGTGTGAAGAGCTCAGTCAGCCTCGGCGTGCGGGCGCTACGTGATATAAGGTTTGTTTTGAGACGTCTCAAAACAAACCTTATATCACGTGTCCTTGCGAAATTGTCCGAGGTGGGTGAGGATGATGCGTTTAAGGAGCTTGAAGGTGTTAAGGAGCTCAGGCAGCCTTGGCGTGCGGGCGCTCGTGCTGCTCTTCCAGTGCATGGCTCAGAGCGAATCCTTAAGTGCACTGCACGCTACTACTGCGCGCTCTATTCGGTTCTCGTCTCACCTGTTCTTGCCCAGTCATCCAAGGCAAGCTTGAGTGAGGGTGGGGGTTCAGCTTCAACCCTGGCTTGCGGGCGCTCATGCTGCTCTTCCAGCGCATGGCTAAGAGCGCTCTCTGCTTGGTGAAGCACGGCTTGCTACTCAACTCATGGCAAAGCGCTTAGTCTGTGTGGGTACTACTTTTGAGTCGACTCCTACTGCGCACTCTACTCAGTGCTCCTCTCATCTGTTCTTGCTATGACATGACATCTAAGGTGGGTGACAGTGGGGTTCCGGGCTGGGAGTGGGGTGCACCCGTCGTGCCTCTTCCCCGCCTTTCACAGGGTCCCATGCTCGTGGCACTGGTGGCCAGTCAATGACGGTGCTCGTGGCACTGGTGGCCAGTCAATGACGGTGCTCGTGGCACTGGTGGCCAGTCAATGATGGTGCTCATGGCACGGGTGGCCAGTCAATGACGGTGCTCGTGGCACTGGTGGCCAGTCAATGACGGTGCTCGTGGCACTGGTGTCCAGTCAATGACGGTGCTCGTGGCTTGGTAGACGTCAAAATATGAGGTTAGTTGGTTTTTGAGAATTCTAAAAAACCCAAATTACCTCGTGGAACTGGTGTTCAAGTCAGGTCAATGAAGGCAGACGTTAAAATGCCTCGGATCGCAGCGTTTGCCAAGCGAGCCCCTCTCCACTCCCTGCTCTAACTAGAAGGCACTCCCCCCCTCTCCCCCCCTTCCCCTCCTCCGCACCTGACCTCAGGGTTCCATGCTCATGGCCCTGGTGTTCAAGTCAATGAAGGCAGACGTCAACATGCCCTGGATCCACTCCCTTCCCTAACTAGAAGTCACCCCCCCCCCCCCCCCCCCCTCTCCCCTTCCCCGCCTGATCACAGGGTCCCATGCTCATGGCCCTGGTGTTCAAGTCAATGAAAGCAGACGTCAACATGCCTCGGATCGCAGCATTCGCCAAGTGAGCCCCTCTCCACTCCCTTCCCTAACTAGAAGGCACTCCCCCCCTCTTCCCCCCCCCTTTCCCCTCCTCCCCTTCCCCTCCTCCGCACCTAACCACAGGGTCCCATGCTCATGGCATTGGTATTCAAGTCAATGAAGGCAGACGTCAACATGCCCCGGATTGCAGCATTTGCCAAGCGGCTGCTGCAAGTGGCGCTGCAGCAGCAGGCGACTTTTGCCTGTGGCGCCCTGCTGCTGATCTCAGAAGTGCTCAAGCTTCGACCCATGCTGTGGTAAGGGCCAGTGCTGGTATGTGGTAGTGTTCAAGAGACTCAATACACGCAAACACAAGTGGCGCTGCGCTGCAGCAGCAAGCGACTTTTGCCTGTGGCGCCTCCTGCTGATCTCCGAAGTGCTCAAGCTTCGACCCATGCTGTGGCAAGGGCCAGTGCTGGTATGCGGTAGTGTTCAAGAGGCTCAATACACACGCACACAAGTGGCGCTGCGCTGCAGCAGCAAGTAACTTATGCCTGTGGCGCCCTGCTGCTGATCTCCGAAGTGCTCAAGCTTCGACCCATGCTGTGGTAAGAACGCATGCTGCTCCGAAGGGCCCAGGTTTTCTATCCTTCTTAGCGTTTGCCAAGGGGCTGCTGCAAGTGGCGTTTGTGGAAAATATGTAGACCAATCACCTTTTTGTGTATATGTATTACCCTTCTTTCTAACAGGAGTGCTGTCTTGGAGCCAGAAGCTAACACAGACGACGTGGAGCATTTTGTAGACGTGGATAAAGAGGCAGCTACTAACGAGGATGCCTTTCCTGAGGGACGGAAGGAGCGAGGGAAAGGAGGGGAGGAGGGAGACGAGGGGGGGTGGGGAGAGGGGGAGGAGGGAGAGGGAAGGCGGAGGAGGGATGGTGCTTATGATCCCAAGCTGAGGGAACCGTCTCTCTGGTGAGAATAGGGAGGTGGGGGGATGGAGGGAGGGAGTACCAGGCTCAGATAGTTTAGGGGATTGTGTACGCTCCCGAGGTGAGGGAACCATATCTGTGGTCAGTGCAGCGGGGAGTAGGGAGGAGAGATGGTTTTCTCAGGTGACCATCTCAGCTCCTGAGAGAGCAGGGAGGAGGGGAGGGGGTGGAAGGAGGAGGGGGGGGGGGTTGGAAGGAGGGAGTAGCAAGTAGCTGTCTCATGCAGGGGGGAAGGTGCTTATGATCCCAAGCTGAGGGAACCATCTCTCTGGTGAGTATGGGGGGGGAACTCAACTCTCCTCTGAAATTATTCCCCTCTGCTTGGGATCTCAACTCCTGAGAGAGAAGGGAGGAGGGGGGGTGGAAGGAGCTGGCAGTGCTGTTGGCGGGAGCTGGCAGCGCTGGCAGCGCGTGTGCACCCCACAGTCTCTCTCCCACAGTCATCATTCATTCAAGGCATTCTCCCACAGGACATTCATCCCGTGTCTTCCTCTGTCTCTCTTCCCCTGTCCCTATTCCCCCGACCCGCCTCCTCTACTCCAGCCACGCCGATCGCGCCTGTTGGTGGGAGCTGGCAGCCCTAGCAGCGCACGTGCACCCCACGGTCTCCCGTCTCGCCGCCTCCCTTCTCTCGGGGGAACCCGCCTCCTTCACTGGAGACCCCATCCAAGACCTCTCCCTCTCCGCCTTCCTCGACCGCTTCGCCGAGAAGCAGCAGATGAGAATGAAAGCCGCGGGCCGGGAGAATGCGGCTTCTGCTGCTGCGGTGGCGGCGGCGGGGGGGAGGAGAGGCGTGGGGTTTGGGGGAGGGGTGGGGAGGGAGGTGGGGAGGGGTGGAGAGGGGTTGGAGGGACAGGTAGAGGCCCATGATGTGTTCTTTCACCGGTTTTATCAGATGCAAGGGGAGATTGGGTCACGGTGGAAGAAGGGGGAGAGGAAGGGGAGGGGGGAGGGGGGGAAGAGAGGGGATGAGGAGGAGGAGGATTTGGAAGTGGATTTGAAGGTGGGTGAGGATAGAGATATGAGGGAGGAGTTGGGTGAGGGTGATGAAGGGGAGGAAGAGGAGGAGGAAGAGGTGGAGGGAGAGGAAGAGGAGGAGGAAGGGGAGGGGTTGGGAGGGACAGGGTTCCTGGAAGTTTCTGACGACGATGATGCTGCTGACGAGGCGATTAAGAACTGGATGGATGAGGAGGGAGGGGATGGGGGGAGTGATTTGAGTGAGGAAGAGGAGGAGGAGGGAGAGGGGGAGGAAGGGGATGAGGATGAGGAAGAGGAGGAGGGGGGTGGGGGGTTTGAGTTTGATTATGATGACATGGATGATTTGTCTGGGGAGGATGCTGTGGGAGATGAGGAGGAAGAGGAAGAGGAAAAGGAGGAGGAGGAGGAGGAGGAAGAGGAAGAGGAAGAGGAGGAGGAGGGGATAGGGGGAGAAGGGGAAGAGGAAGAGGACGGAGGAGAGGAGGAGCCGGAGGAAATAGCAATCAAGTCAAGTGCAAAGAAAGGTGGTAGTGGGAAGAAGCAGCCGCCTGCTTTGGCCCGAAGGAAGGAGCGTGCACGAGAGGATGCGAAGAGGAGCAAGAGAGAGGCAGCCAGTTGGAATGATGATAGCGGTGATGTGGGGAAGCCCATAAAGAAGCAGAGGAAAGGGGAAGTGAGGGCCGAGGCTGGTGGGGCCAGTTTCCAGAAAGCCGAGAAGGGCCGGGGTAAGCCGAAAGGGGGTTTGTCTAGTAGCCCTTTTGCAAGCTTCGATTCTTATGCCCATTTGTTGGATGAGTGAAGGATTTTTTCGGTTGAATTCTGAAAGAAGATTCCAGTAACCCCTTAGCGAGCTTAGATTCTTGTGCCCATTTGTTGGACGACCAAATGGGGCAGTTTGGAGCAAGCTTTGATGCTTCCTATGCTCAATTGGTGAATGGTTAGATTAGGTTGTTGGCTGTAATCGAGTGGTTCCTTGTCTGGATGATCAGCAAGTTCGATCTCAGATCATTTGTGTATCATTCGTTTACTCCACAAGAAGGGTTTTTTTTTGCATTGTAGCAAATCCTTCGTGTTTGTTGTGCAAATGGCCTAGGAATGTGGTGGAACGACTAAACGTTATAATGCGTGCTACAGAGACGAGTATATCTTTGCTACTCCCCCCACCCCTAGGAATCATTTCAAGGTCACCTTCTCGCCACCAACCGCAAACCGCCCGCATCTCCCGCTCCCGCCTCGCCCCAGGTCTCACGAGTCACGACCGCCGCTGTGCCCTTGTTTTTTTTCAGCGGCGTTTCAGATTTGCGACCATCGTTCATCGCCCCCCGCTCTTCGCGCATCGCGCTCTAGCTTGCGCTTATCGCGCCCTACCTTGCGCTTATCGCGCCTTTGTCCCTCTCCTTCCCGCCCATCTTCTTCCGCCCATATCGATTCCACCCATCTCCTTCCCCCCATCTTGCATCCGCCCGGGAAGGTCTCGCCTCAGGCATTCATATCCCCCGCCTTTCCCGCACGCCGCACATTTGCCTAGGATCCCTAACTTGATAGTCGCTTGGGATTATCATCTCGTTTCCTCCTTGCTACTCTCCGCCTACCGATGTTCGCCACGTGGCTGCGCCTCGCGGCGCGTCAGACGCACGTGGGCGAGGCGGCGGAGAAGGGATCGGCGGCGGTGATTCTTCGGATAGTGCGGGAGCACGGGCCGTGCAACAAGAATGTTCTATGGACGCACGCTGAGGTATGTGCGAAAGAAACTCCCCCTTCCCCCTCCCCCGATTCCTCCCCCCCCCCCCTCCCCTCCTCCTCCCCCCCAGATCCCTCCCCCTTCCGCCTATGCGGGGCACGGGCCGTGCAGTAAGATCGGGCTATGGACGCACGCTGAGGTTCGTGCGAAGGCCCCCCCCCCCCCCCCCCCCCCCCCCCTCTTTCCCCCTCCCCCGCTCCGCCCTTAGGATAGTGCGGGAGCACGGTTTTTTTTAGAATTCTAAAAAAAAAACTGCAAAATCAGGGAGCACGGGGCGTGCAATAAGAAGGTGCTATGGACGCACGTTGAGGTGAGGTACTTCGTTACAGCGAAGGTATCTAAGGTACCCAAGGTACCGAAAGGGGAGCATTGTGGAAGAGCAGGAGAAGGCGGATGAGAGCAGGAGAACGGGGAAGGGGGAAATGGGAGGCAGTGGCCTAGAGAAAGGGAAGGGGCCCTCGTTGGGGGGGAGGGGAAGGGGGAAACGGGGGGGCGGAGTAGGGAACTCTCTTGAAGGGGGGTTAGGTTTGAGGCGCCTATGAACGTGAGCAGGCGAAATGGGAGACAGTGGCCTAGAGAGAGGGAAGGGGTGGCTGTTTGGGGGGGAGCGGAAGGGGGAAGAGGGGGGGAGGAATTAGGGAACTTTCCGGAAGGGGATTAGGTTTGGAGTTTGCAGGGTAGGGCTGAGGGGATGAAAGGGCAAGGCTTGGGAATGGACAGGGAGGGCGAAACCTGGTGGGAATCACTTGAGGTGGCGTGGCGGGGGTGAGGATCCAGAGGCGCACTAATGCACATGGGAATGGCAGAAGGGCAAGGCATAGGAATCGACAGGGAGGGCGAGATTCGGTGGAATTCACTTGACTTGGGAGGGGAGGAGGGAGGGGGGAGGGGGGGGGGGGGAAGAGCGGGTGATCTTCTGCTGAAGCTCAAGGTGTGGGGGCGGATGGAAAGCGTCCAGTTGGATGGGATGGAAGGGCAGGGAGACATAGGAGGGGGGCGAAATCGCTTGCGGCGGCGGCGGCGGAGATCATCTGTGGGGGTGAAGAGCGAGCGACACACTAATGAAGCGTATGCTGCTATGGCGGATAAAGGGATGCTGCTATGGCTGATAAAAGGATGCTGCAGTGGCTGATGGAGAAGAACAAGCGAGGTGGCACACACATGTTTTGTGCCATCCCCCCTTTATCGCTCCTCATCCCTCCCATTCGCCCTCGCCTCCCCATTCCCCTTCCCAGGATGCGTGGGTGAAGAGCGAGCTGCACATGACGCTCATGCTGCGGTGGCTGATGGAGAAGAACCAGTCTTAACGAGGTGCCACACACACATGACCTATTCCATTCCCACTTGTCATTCTTCCCCACTTCCATGCTCCCACCCCATCCTTCCTCATCAGGAGGCGGGGGTGAAGAGCAAGCGGCACATGAAGCTCATGCTGCGGTGGCTGATGGAGAAGAACCAGATTCGCATCAAGTGCCTCACACATGACCCATCAGCACCCCAGCAGCAGCAGCAGCAGCAGCATGGGATGGCAGGAGCCCCAGGAGCAGCGGCAGCAGCGGCTGCTGCGTCAAGGGGAGCTGGATCGGGGGCATTTGCTGGCGCTGCTGCGGCTAGAGTGCAACCGGCAGGAGCGAAGAAGAGATCGACGAAGCATGTGTCAGTAGAGAAGGAATTTATTTACTCCATCGCGCCAAGATATGTACCTAAAAGCGAGTAGCATTGTATGATTGGATGGGAGACAATTTGGGCAATTGCTTGAATCTTGTGAATGCTAATCAAGCTGGTGGCTTTGTGGACTTCCTTCTAATCTACTGTAATCTCCAGGATAAAGGTGTCAACTTACACATATGTTTGTATGTAGAAGTCATAGGCTCGATAGGTGTATGTTCTTAGGGGGTACAACTCCAACCCTCTATCTCCCTTGTTCACACTTCTTTCTAGTCATTCTTGTATTCTAACATGGTATCATGAGTAGGTTAGGTCCGCCAACCCACTTCCGCCCCTAGCCCTAGCCTACCCCCCCGCCGGTCCCTAGAGCGCCCGCCGGCCCCTAGCATGCCCGCCGGCCCCTAGCATGCCCGCCGCCCCTAGCGTACCCGCTGGCCCCTAGCGTGCCCGCCGCCCCTTCACCGCCGCGCCGGCCTCTCACGTACCCTGCCGGCCCCACGCGCCTAGCCAGCCCCTAGCGTACCCGCTGGCCCCTAGCGCTCAGCCGGCCCCTCACGCACCTCGCCAGCCCCTTGCTACCCGCCGCCCCTTAAGCGCCCCGTCGGCCCCTCGTGCCTAGCCGGCCCCTCGTGCGCTCTGTCGGCCCCTCGCGCAACTGCCTGGCCCACCGCGCGCCTCGCCGGCCCTTCGCGCTCACTGGCCCCTCACGCGCCTGCCGGCCCTTCGCTCGCTCGCCGGCCCTTCGCGCACGCCGGCCCCTCACGTGCGTGCCGGCCCCTCCCGTGCCCGCCGGCCCCTCATGCGCTCGCCGGCCCTTCGCGCGCGCCGGCTTCTCACGCGCCCGCCGGCCCCTCCCGTGCCTGCCGGCCCCTCCCGTCCTCGCCTGCCCCTCCCCGCCTCTCCTGCCCCGTCGCACCTCTGCCGGCCCTTTGCGCCCTGCTGGCTCTGCGCGCCCCGGGCCCTGCGCGCCTCGGGCCCCTCCTCGGCCTTCCGCCTAGTCTTCTCGCCAGAGAGTCCTGCCGCTGTGACGCCGTATCGCTGAGTACATGTGCCACTTTGCCACTGTGTCGCCATGCCGCTGCGCCGCCGTGCCGCTCTGCCGCTGCGACGCTTTGCCACCGTGATACAGCGCTGCGGAGGTTGCACGATGGCGGACGTTGTGCTTCGCCTGGACGCGGAGGGACACGCGATCGACTTCTCCGCCTGGCTGGTCGATCTCCGCCGTCACCTGGCAGGTCAGCGCCAAGATGGGCACTCCCTGGCTATGCATGTTGATGGCTTGCTTCCCCGCCCCCCCGCGCCTGATCCCCTCCCTGCTGACCCCACCACTGCTGAGTGTGAGACCTTTGCTGCTGCTGCGCTCGCTCGCGTTGTCTGGGACTCTTGCGATGCTGTTGGCAATCGCGATTTCCTAGATGCTGTAGTTGCGCCCTACTCCACACCCCCATCCGCCTCTGTTGGCCGCTTGATCCTCCCCATGCTATTCCTTGATCTTTCCGCTTTCCCCACTGTCGCTGACCTCGCTACTCACCTCCGTGCACTAGAGACTAGCTATCGTGCTGCTAGCACTGCCGCCCAGCTCATTGCCTTCCCCCCACCGTTCTATGCTACCCTGTACCTTATTGCCATGCACCTGCCTGACTGCTTAGCCAGTGCCCGCAACCACTTCCTTAACCAGTACCCTGGTGACCTCACCCTGACCGCCTTTGTCACTGCCATTTCTGACATAGAGACTCGCCAACGCACTATCGCTCAGTAGAGCGGTATTGCGGCAGTCCCTATCTTTCAGGGCAGTGCTCCCTCCCAGTGCACGTACGCTGACGTTTCCGCCGCGGTCGCTACGGCTGCTCCTGCCACTGAGACCGCAGCTGCGGCCTTCCGTCAGCAGCGACAGCGTCAGGGCCGTCGTGGCCCCAAGGGAGGGCGTGGTGGTGGTGGTGGTGGTGATGGTGGTGGTGGTGGTGGTGGTGGTGGTGGTGGTGGTGGTGGTGGTGGTGGTGGTGGTGGTGGTGGTGGTGGTGGTGGTGGTGGTGGTGGTGGTGGTGGTGGTGGTGGTGGTGGTGGTGGTGGTGGTGGTGGTGGTGGTGGTGGTGGTGGTGGTGGTGGCGGCGGAGACAGTGGTTCTGACGAGGGGGCTGGGGCTGGTGTCTAGGAGCAGCAGCAAGTGCAGAAGATGCAGCAGCAGCAGCAGCAGCAGGAGCAGCCGCAGCAGCCGTGGGCCCGCCTCCCACCGGGGTGGCCAGGAGCCCCTGGAGGTGGTGGCCGCGGTGGCGGTCCTCGCAGCTCGGCGTCTATTGATGGCTTCAGCGCGGTGAGCTGCCAGTACCAGCTCCAGACCAGGCCCCTTCGTGGCAATGTGTGCCACCGCCAGCACCTAACCGCCCGCTGCTTCCGCCGCCTCGACAACCTCCTCCGTCGTCGCTTCGGCCCGGGCCCGTACCTCCCTGACTGGTCCAGTCTGCTGCGCCACGGTGTGCCTGTTTTTGACATAGATATGGATCAGATTAGTTCTGCCCTACATTCTCTATATGCTGACACTTCTAGTGTGCCCAAATCCAATTTCCCTGTGTTCTCTAGCTTAGGCGTACCACCTGTGTGTAGTACAGACTCCCCTGCTGCGTCAGGCGTAGGACCGTTTGCCTTGTCTAGCCTGTGCTCCACCCTTGCTCCTCCTTCGTCCGCCACTACCGCTTCACTGTCCTTCACACTTGACTCCGATGCGTCTGCCTACTTCTTCCACGACCACGCTGCATTCACGCCGCATGCTGCGCCTGCCGCTGTCGCACTTGCTGACCCCTCCGCGAGTCCTGTCGTTGCTCGCAGCTACACTACCCTTCCCTGTCCAGTGGTTCCCTCGGGTTACCTTACAGGCCTGCACATCCCCTCGTTCTCCCGGAACTTAGTTGGTGTCGGCTGTCTTCAGGACCTCGGCGTCACCACTACGTTCCCGGGTCACGAGCGGTACACTGTCTGTACCAAGGCCGCCTCAGGTTCCCCCCTTGCGACATTCCCCCATGTCACAGGATCGAATGTGTCCATGAAAAGTCCCACTATCGATTGATACAAGGCGCTTTTATACTTCCAAAGTACATCAGGTAACCAGGTTTATCCTGTCCAAAGGGAATAGACCCTTTTAGAAATAGAATCACCCTGCGTATAGCCATGCAAAGCTATTGGCTTTAAGGGATTACGGCAGGATTACACTAGATATAGCGCGCCCGTACATCCCGAGCCTGGTCGGTGATATAATCATAATAACAAGATAAACCAAAGGATAATGGAATAGGAGGAAAAGGAAACCAAATGAGATGAGATAAAAAGAGGAATGAAATAGAAAGGAGATATGGAAAAGGAAATTGGTGTAACGGGGTCGTACTCTCACACTTCCCCCCCTCAAAGTTGGGTGGGAGAAGTAACACCCTGCTTGACAAGGTAGTCGAGAAGAGGACGACGAGCGTTACCCATCTTGGATTCATGAACCCAACTATCCTCAGAAGGATCATAACCCTTCCAACTAATGAGAAGCTCCATGGTGCCATTCCGATGACGGCAGTGTGCGAGCGCGGACTCGACCTCGTACTCGAGTTCATCGTGGACGAGGACGGGCAGCGGCAGTGGGGGTTAGCGTCCGGTGAAGACCGTGTTAGGATCTCGATAGGGCTTCAGAAGTTGGACATGGAAGGCGTTGTGAATCTTCCAGTTACTATAGCTGGTAGGCGTAAGCGGAAGGTAACAGGAGTTACCTATACTTCGACGAGAAAGGGTCCGCAGAAGCGAGGTCTTAGTTTGGATGGGAGATGACTGATGTCGAGATTGCGGGTGTCGAGTAGAACTTGGTCTCCCGTAGTAATGGTGTGGTCAGTGCGGTGGCGATCGGCCTGGCGCTTTTGTTGTTGCTGAATGTCGAGGAGGCGCTTGTGGGTCCGATCCCAAAGCTGATGCATGGTCTGATGAAGTCGTGTGCAGGTTGGACTGTGGCTGATGCTGTCGGTTTTTGTGGTGTAAGCGGGTGGCATCCGTAACAGAGGAAGAACGGCGTCTGTCCAATAGCGGCGTGAGTGGCGTTGTTGTAGGCAAAATCCTGGACGGGCATATGCAAGTCCCATTTAGAGATTTCATCTTTGCATGATGCGCGAAGGAGTTGCTCTACAATTTGGTTTAGGCGCTCGATCTGTCCATCTGTCTGCGGATGGTGGGCAGGTTACATGGTGAGTTTTGTCCCGAGCAGAGACATCAGTTCCTTCCAGAACGTGCTGGTGAACTAGGGGTCTTGGTCGGAGATGAGTGTGGTTGGAATGCCATTTTGTGAGATGATGTTGTGAACGAATAGTTGTGCTGTCTCTTCGGTGCTTGCTGTCGTGTGTGTCGGGATGAAGTGTCCCATTTTGGAGAATTTGTCGATGACGACGAGGATTGCGTCATGACCGCTTGTGGTAGTTGGTAACCTGGTGATGAAGTCCAGGCTAACCACTTGCCATGGTTGTTCTGGGACAGGAAGAGGCTATAGCAGTCCTTCTTTTTTCTGCTTGCTGGTCTTCATCCGCTGACATGTAGCACACGAGGCGACGAACTGTTGGACGCCGGCTGCCATGTGGGGCTAGTAGTAGTGCTTTGCAATACCGGTGAGCGTTTTGTTGCTACTGAAGTGTCCCGCGTATAGGACATCGTAGTATTCTTAGAGTAGTAATTGGCAAAAAGGAGGGTAATTGGGTACCCATATTTTCGTTCATCCCTTCTGGTACGCGATGTCACTGTTCCACTGTGGCAGGTGTTGCATTTCTGCTAAAGGAATTTCGGGATCGATGGCGTACCTCTGAGTGAAGAGTCCTTTGAGTAGTGGGTTCATCCCTTCGACCTGGATTGCGGCAACGTGTGCAGGCCGACTAAGAGCGTCTGCTTTGTTTTTGTGGCTGGAGGAAGTGCGTCTCGAGGAAGTCAATCTACCAGACCTGCTGGTTGGAGAGATTGAGTTGTGTCTTCAGATATTTCAGGCTGCAGTGGTCGGTGTATACGGTTGTTCTTCGCCCTTCGAGATAACATCTCCACGTTTTGAAGGCGACGATAATAGCAAGGGCCTCTTTGTCGTGTATCGGGTAGTTTAGTTCTGCTCCGTGTAGTTTCTTGCTGAGGTAGGCAATTGGTTGCAGTCCATTCCCCTGGTCTTGCATCAAGATTGCTCCCACTGCGTGGTCGCTAGCGTCAGCTTCGATGACATAGTCGCGTTCGGGATCTGGCAAGATGAGTACTGGTGCGGACGTGAGTGCTTGTTTCAGCTGCTCCATGGCTTCCTGATGTTTTGGTTCCCACTTATAGGGCATGTTATTCTTCAGCAGATTCGTGAGTGGTGTTGCGATTTTTGCGGTCTATGGCACGAACCTGTTGTAATAGTTAGCAAAGCCTAGGAACTGCTACAACTCCTTCACGGTCTCGGGTGTCTTCCACGTGCGTACGACTTCGATCTTCTTGGGTTCGACGTGAACCCCTAGAGCGCTCACCATGTGTCCTAGGAATTGGACTTTCTCGAGGGCGAATTCACTCTTGGATACCTTGATGTAGAATCGTTCTCGTCGGAGTATGTCAAAGACGCGTCGCAGGCATTGGACGTGCTGCTGCATGTCGCGCGAGTAGATGAGGATGTCGTCCAGGTATACCATCACGCATTCGTCCAAAAGTGGGCGTAGAAAATGGTTCATTTCAGCTTGGAACGTTGCGGTGCGTTGGTGAGTCTGAACGGCATTACCAGATACTTGTATGACCCGTACCGAGTGCGGAAGGCAGTTTAGTGATTAGAATCGTCCGCCATTCATATCTGCCACTATCCGGACCGCAGATCTTGTTTGGAAAATACCGTGGCTCCCCGAAGCTGGTCAAGCAGGTCATCGGTTCGTGGGATAGGGTATTTGTTCTTGATATTCTGCTTGTTGAGAGCTCGGTAATCAATGCACATGCGCAGGCTTCCGTCTGGTTTCGGTGTGAAGAGTACTGGAGCATCGTATGGCGAAGTAGATGGTCGGATGAGTCCTTTTGCGATGCGATACTCGATCTATTTCTTCATGTCAGCTAGCTCCGTGGGGCTAAGCCGATATGGTGCTCGGAAGGTCGGCTTCGAACCTGGCTCTTCCACGATCTCGGGTTGGTGCGTTCGGTATGGCGGCAGCTCGTTCGGAAGGTCGTCGGGAAGAATGTCTTGGAACTCCTTCAGTAACCCCCTTGATTTTTTGTGGAGGTTCTGAGGCTTTCTCTCCGTCGCTTTCCACATCTGTCGCTATCGCCAGGAACCCGGTGTCGGTTTGCTTTACGTCCTTCTCGAATCTTGCGAGTGTCTCCGCTGGGATATCTTCTGTATCGTCCCAGTTGGGAAGCTGGACTCTCCTTCCGTTGTTGTAGATGCTTGTGCTACGACTTACCCAGTTGATCTCGGGGTTGAATCTTTTTAGGAAGTCTCGCCCGAAGATCAAGTCAAGCCCTTTGATGTTGGTGATAGGGAGTGCAGGTTTCCAGCGCAGTGGTCCAATTTGTAGGTGTAGCACTGCTTCGTCGTGTTCTGGTAACTTGCTGCCATCCACCATTGTTGCAGATAATGCTGAAGGCTTGTTCTCTTCCCGAAGTCGGTTGATTACTGCCTTGTCACAGACGGTGTGTGATGCTCCGCTGTCCACGAGTGCTTGGAGCTGTCGTCCTTTGCAGATGACCTCGAGCACGAGGGGCGGGCGTTGCTCGGAGTACCCAAAGATAGTTTCGTTAATAGGATCATAGGGTACATCCCAATATTCTGTACACATATTTTTCTTGCTATCTGCTCGTGGGTTAGCAGCTGGCCGAGGCTGCTTGGAGAAAGTTTCTCCCTCAGGATCCTGAGCTTTTTTTTACGGCTGTGTGTATCGTTGATGCCGAATTTGTTGTGCTGGATGCATCCGAAGGAGGAGTTCAGGGTTTTTGCAACTTCGTGTAGATCCCCAGCTTCCTCTTGAGCTGCTTCAGCTCCACTGACATCTTCCCTGGGGAACGAGTAGTTGTTGTGGGCTGGTGTCGGGAGAGGACATTGACTCCGTGGAAAGGTCGGCTTCTTTCCACACTCCTTAATTTTTGTCCCCGAGTTTTTCGGTACCGGTATGATCTCCACGAGGTTCTGCTTCTTCTGGAGTCCATCCCGAAATTTCTCCAAGGCTCTAGCCACTTGAAAATAATAAGTTTTCATTAGAGCATCCTAATAAGAAAACTTTAACGAATCCTTATAATTTCGTGGGTCTTCACGAAGTTTCCCCGTCTCGGCAGAGGCCTTTTCGCGGAGTCAGTTTTTTTCTCAGCGATTTTCTCTGGCAAAGACTGGTCGTGGGGTGGAGATTTTTCCCCATCATTTCCTCCTGCTCGCGTCGAATCAGCTTCGTTGAAGTTGATTTTCCCGGAATCCCACGGCCGCTTTCGGATCTTTTCTTTTTCGCCAGCTAGATCCGCAATAACTGGCGAATTCCGTTTTTTGTCTTCTGATTGGCTGAAGAATTTCTGCCACTATTGCGTGCCCGATACTTTGCTCGTACGGATTTCATTTTGTTGCAGTCGAAGATTCGATGGCCCGGCACCCCGCCAAAATCACACGTATAGTTGGTGTTTTTCGGATGTGACCGCCTGTCGAACCTGTCGATTTCCATCGGGTCGGCGAGTGTGGGGTGAGCCGAGCGGTCACCCTGTCGCGTACTGCCGACGTGCACCCGTCGTGTTCCGGTGTTGACCATATCAAACCACTCCGCTGCCGAAACGACGTCTCTGTAGCTCGCGTAATTTGTCGGTGCTACCTGTCGGTTGACTTCAGACTTCAGCCCGGCGAGATACGGCTGTACTTTTTCCCCTTCGAAGAGGTCGGGAATGCCGTTATAAAACTCCTCCATCTGTTGCGTGTACTGCGCTACACTCCCGAACTGTCGATGGCGATGAATTTTTTGCCGGGCAAGGAAACCCGAATTTATCGGCTCGAAACGTTTCAGCAGGTCGGTGCGGAACTGCTGCCACGTGGCTTTGCCGTGGATGAAGGTACTATTACCGCCGATCCACTCGAGTGCCGGTCCTCGCATCAGTGTTGTCGTGAATCGTACGCGTTGAACGTCCCATATTGGTGAGCTCCATCCGATGGCTTCGAAGTGAATCTCCATTCCGACGATCCCTTTGCGGGCGTCGGAATTTTGATTGCTTGGATTGAACGGCTCAGGTGGGCGCGGTTTCGGAGCCTCGAGAAACTGCTGCACCGTCGCCGTTGTCGTTTCGTGCTGCGCGTCGGCGAGTCGAGTTACTCGCTTGAACTCGTTTCGCCAAGTTTCGCGATCGGCTCGCATCTCCTCCTGAAGGGCGGCGATGCTCGCGAAGAGCTGCTAGGTACCCTCGGCGTTGTCGAAGTTCGACATCCTGTTCAAAACGCGCGTGGAGGGGTTAATTAAAAAAATGCGGAGCTGGTGCTTACCAGAATCGGCGCCGAATTAGTCGCCCCTTACGGTTTTTCGAGGCAAGTTTTCCCGCTGCTTGTACTTAGCTGAGTGCGGCTGAGTGAGAAAAGCTCTGTTTACCAAGTGTTACTGGATCGAATGTGTCGAGGAAAAGTTCCACTATCGATTGATACAAGACGCTTTTATACTTCCAAAGTACATCAGGTAACCATGTTTATCCTATCCAAAGGGAATAGACCCTTTTAGAAATAGAATCACCCTGCGTATAGCCACGTGAGGCTGTTGGCTTTAAGGGATTACGGCAGGATTACGCTAGATATAGCGGCGCCAGTACATCCTGAGCCTGGTCGGTGATATAATCATAATAATATGATATACCAAATGATAATGGAATAGGAGGAAGAGGAAACCAAATTAGATGAGATAAAAAGAGGAATAAAATAGAAAGGAGATATGGAAAAGGAAATTGGTATAAGGGGTCGTACTCTCACACCTCGGGACCCGGTGTCCGGCCTGTTTACGCTGGACACTACTTCCCCCCTGGGTGGGGCGTCCTCCTCGGGTCCTGCGTCTACCCAGGTCACTATTGCGTGCTCGTGTCGGTCGCTGACTCACCTGTCCCTTCTGTGACACCACCGCCTACGTCACCCCGCACTCCCGCATCTGCGTCACATGTCCCAGCACGATCTTGTCCTAGGTCTCCCTGCGTCGCTTCCTGCCTCAGGTCCTTCAGAGGTTCGGTCTTCAGTTCTCCTCCGCACAACCCACACCTCTGCCAGTAGACCACAAGCTCTCAGCTCCAGTTACTGAGGAGTCAGTAGAGCCCAGTGGTCCTTACGGAGAGCTGGTGGGTTGCCTCATGTACCTGATGACTTGCACTCGTCTAGATCTGGCATACCCTCTCAGCATCTTGGCTCACTTTGTGGCCACCGGCAGACACCGACCACAGCACTGGTCGGCGGCTAAGAGGGTTTGTGTTATGTAGCAAGTACATCGAGCATGGGGCTAGTGTTGGGAGGACGCAGGCCAGTGGTCCTTACTGGACACACAGACGCTTCTTGGGCAGATGATGCTGAAACCCTCAGGTCCTCCCAGGGCTATTGCTTTAGCCTTGGTTCAGGTTCCATCTCGTGGAGGTCCACTCGCTCCTCGTCTGTTGCCTAGCCTAGCTGTGAGGCTGAGATCTATGCCGGTGCCATGGCGGCACAGAAGCTCCGCTGGCTGACCTTCTTGCTCAACGACTTAGGTGAGCAGCCTAGCTCTGCCCGGTCCTGTACGGTGATAACAGGGTCATGATCCTCCTGTGTCAGGAGCCTTGACTTGAGGGCAGAGCAAAGCACATCCAGCTGCAGTACTTCCTCTTGCGCGAGCTACAGCACCGCCGCCAGGCCCGCGTAGTACACTTGGCCTCCGGTGCCAACACAGCTGATATCTTTACTAAGGCGCTTGCGCCTAAAGATCATTAGCGGCACTACTTACAGCTTGGCCTAGTTCCTGTAGACTCTCACTTGCTAGGACCTTGATTATGTACTCCTCTATATTTATACTTTCCAGACTGGCCTTGTGGCTTCCCTTCCAGTGGCCGGACTAGTAGTGCTGCCCTAGTTTTCTCTTGTCTTGGTTGTACTCTTGCTGACTGGTCTTCAGACCATTGCCTCAGAGGTTGGACTAGTATTGCCACCTTGAGCTGCATGTTTCTTGCTCAGCACTTCCCTTTATCTAGCTTGGGGGGTGTGTCAACTTATACATATGTTTGTATGTAGAGGATATAGGCTAGATAGATGTATGTTGTTAGGGGGTACAACTCCAACCCTATATCTCCCGTGTTCGCACTTCTTTCTAGTCATTCTTGTATTCTAACAAAAGGATCATCCGATAAGAGACTCCATGGGTCTTTTATCCGGATGTGGGAACAGCTATTTTGGCAGTCCTCGTGAGGTCTCAATTTTTTGTATTGTAATTTTCAAGACCAACCTAGTTAGCTTTTTCTCTAAAATTTACAGAGGATTCCTCCCTAGCGTGATCTTCGCACTGCGCACGTAGGTCAAGGCAGTAAAAAAACCATCGCGCCACGTCAG